TGTTTTTTTTCATTTAGCCTTTATTTATCCAGGTTAGTCTCATTGAGCCACGAGAACTCATTTTCAAGAGAGACCTGTTTAGGGAGCACATGGTGGGGGTTAAGGGCCTTGCTCATGGGCCCAGAGTGGGGCGAATGAGGGTGGGGGCAAGTGTGGGTGTTTCACCTACCCCACCCACAATTTTTGATGTTGTCGGGGCTGGGGCGTGAACCGGCGATCTTCGGATCACAAGCCCACCTCATGTTGGAGCAGCTCTGTCACTTTCATTATGAGATTTTGCTTTTGGAAACTTTAATTCCTCTTTTTCTGGATGTAAATCACATTTTTTGGATGATGGTTTCTTCTGGTATCAGATGCTGTGCAGCTGGAAGGATTTTTACTGAAACTTTTTTAATTTAAGACATTTGTTATGATGCGTAACCATGACAGCAAGGCAGTTTTCTACAACCAACAGCAGTTGATTAATTCAATTAAATTCAAATTCAAAAATACTTTATTAATCCCAGAGGGAAATTATTTGTTGTTGTCACTTGTTATCCTCATTTCATTAAGAGATGTTATAGATACTGATGGCTGTAGACAGGAAGGATCTCTTCTAAAGGTCCATCCCACAGTGGATCTTAAGAATCTGGCTGCAGATGCCGTCCGATCCGTCCACCCAGACTCGGCTGGCCTCTTGGTTCCCCCGGGCTGTAGGACCGCCCGAATGCCAGGCAGAACTCCTCCCAGAGCGATGGCCACTCCTCCCAGCAGTCTGCCGAGCTCCTTGTCGCAGTGGACAGCCAACTGTAGGTGCCGAGGGACGATCCTGTCCTTCTGCTGTCATGAGCCGTGTTTCCTGCTAGTTCCAGGATCTCAGTGGCTAGGCACTCGAGTACTGCTGTCAGGTAGATGAGAATGCGTCCACAGAACATCCTTTCAACTCATTTGAGATTTGGGGCTGTAGTTGAGATATTATCTGAGCTTTTGAGATGTTAATCAGCTGCTGTTGGTTGTAGAAAACTGCCTTGTTGCCATGGTTATGCATCATGATTAACATCTCAAATGCTCAAATAATATCTCAACTACAGCCCCAAATCTCAAATGAGTTGAAAAGGAT